CAAGCCTAGTTCCCTCAGCCTTTCCTCTTAAATCATGTGCCCCAGCCCCCACACCATTTTTGTTCTTCTCTGTTCTGCTGTGGTGCTGTGTTACAACATCATTCCAGAACTTTGGAAGATTGTGCATATAAGTCCAGTTGTCCTGTGACATAAGGAGTGTCCCTTCAATGGCAGCTGCAAAACTAACTCTTGATTCAAAGCCAGACAAGGAAGGGGGAGGAAGGAACATCTGTCAAAATCTGCTCCTCTTCCCCTGCAAAGGGGTTGGAACAGGTCCTTTTGCAACATGCTGGAGCAGGCTGAGCCAGCAGGGGCCCAGGGCGTGGGTCGGCAGGGGCTCTATGGAGCTGGGCTGGGCTGTGCCAGCAGGGAGAGTGGGGAGCTAGTTTGGCTCCATAGACCCCGTGCCAGCCCGCACCCTGGTCTGGGTCCCTGACACAGGCCCCATGCTCCCACCCAGCTGTCGCTGCGCTCCCGCACGCCCAGTCACTGCCACTCCTCTGCCGCCTGCTGCAACCACTGGCCGACTCCACCCCCCACCTGCTGCTTCAGCACCATGTGGTTCCTGGCTACAGTGCCCTCCACTGTAAATTCTCATAAGCAGACTCTGCCCAAAGCCCTCATAGCTAATCGTGCCATCTAGACAAGCATCTGTATGTGCTAGTCTATGGGGAGTCTCTCTTTTCCCTCCTAGGCTCTAGAGACAGACATTCAAAATGCCTGAGCCTGAATTGATTCAGTCTTTGCAGGTTAGTCTAATCTGGCTAGGCTAAATCAGTTTTGTAACTGGACAGACATCCCAGAAATACAGGCACATGCCTGCAGTGGCTCAGGCCAGAAGCTGGGGGGTGCTAGAGCAGCCCTCCCTTCCTTCCACAGTACTGAGCTGAGAGGGGCCTGGCCAGGCCCCGGGGGCAGGACACTCTGATTAGCCCAGCAGGGAATTGATAATAGTGCTTCTCACCCCCTAAATCAGTGTTTATCACCCAATTAAGAAAACAACAGAGGGACATTACCAGCTACTTGTTGACTCTGCCTGTTGATTCTACCTGTCCATTCAGCAGGTAGTCTGCAAGCTAATACATAGACACCTCCTCAGCAAGGCAGAGGGGAGGGGGGAATTCCTGCTTAGCAGGGAGTGGTGAGGGGAGGGGGGAAGCAGCCTGCAGTCTCTGGAGCTCCAGCCAGGGAGCAGAGGGGAGGGGCCAGCCCTGCTGTGGAGCAGAGAGCCCTGCCCAGCCCAGCCCTGCCCAAAGAGCATGCCAGGATGCTGGGGGTCTCTGTTTTAACTTAAACCAGCAAGGGGTCTGGGATAGGCTGAATTCAAGCACTGCTTGGGAACCCACGTAGCTGATGAAAGATAATCTTTAATTATAATAATAGGCTTATTTTGTCTGTCTGCAGTACTCTGATTGGTTGTCTCAGCAGCCAATCACAATTCTTACTGAAACAACCAATCAGAGTGCTCTGGACAGATGGAATAAACATGTTATTATTATAGATCCTGAGGCATTTCAAACAGATATGCTGGCAAGTCAGAGCAAGAATGAAGCACTGGGGCCTCCTGCTGCAGAGCGGGCAGGCTCTGCTGAAGGAAAAAAAAAAAGCAGTGAGGGACCTAATCCTATTTTTTTTCTTGGAGCCTGCCCACCTCTCTCGAGGCTGTGGGGCGAGCTGCTGAGAGGCCCTGGTACTTCTTTCCGCACTGGCGGTGCCCCCCAGGACCACCTAGGCAGGGTGCCAGCAGGTGGGTGCTGCTTGGGGGGGTGCTGCCACAATGGAGGAAAGCACTGGGGTCCGCTACAGCTCAGGGGCTGCACAACCCGCCAGCAGCTCACTCCCCAGCTGTGGGAGATGCAGGCAGGATCCAGGAGAAAAAAAAAAGATCAGACCTCTGTCCACTTTTTTTCTTTCCTCGGTGGAGCCTGCCCTTGTGAGCTGCCACTGTGTCACACCGCCCTTGAGCAGCAGGGGAGCCCGGTGCTTCCCTCCTCGGCGGTGGGGTCCCTGGGGGCAACCCGGGTGGGTTGTTAGCTGCACAGGTGCAGCCACAACTTGCAGGCAGCATCCACCAGATCCAACGGTGCACGGGGTGCTGGAAGCCCAGGCATGCTCAGGGAAGGTTGGGCTTGGTGGGCTTCCAGCACCCTGTGCACCAACCCTACTGCCTGGGACCACCTGGAAACAGGCTGGCTGCCCCAGGAAGGTGGCAGGAGGGCGGCTAGGTGTGCCGGTAGCCGGAGAAGGTGATGAGGATAGTGCACAGGGCACTGGAAGCCCGCCAAGCCTGAGCTTCCCCAAGCACACCCAGACTTCCAGTGCCCCCTGAACTGTCCCTGCTGCCTTCTCCAGATCGGACCCTTGTACACATGAGGAATATCGCTGTAATTTACGTAACAAACTAAAATACATGGGATGTATTACATAACAAACTAAATTACCTGGGATGTATTTTAGTTTGCTATGTAAAAAAGACATTTACTGTATTTTTGCACATATGGCCCACGGGCTATACACATTTTTACAAACTTGACAGGTGGGTGCAGGCTGTACAAGGGTGTGGGCTATGCAGAGTCTTTAGAACAGCATAGCCCACCCCCGCCCATCCCCCGGCGGGATTATCTTGAGTGTGGCTGGCAGTGGCGGCGGGGGGTGGGGCTGCCTCCCCTGCTGCTCGCAGCTCCTCATCCCTCCCTTCCCCTGCACCACTTTTAGCTGGCTCCAGCTCCGGCTCCAGCGGCCATGCCCAGCAGAGCCCGCACTTGTGACCATGTCTCGGGGGGGGAGGCTGCAGGCCGGTGGTGAGAGTCTGCAGCAAGCCCCGGCAGAGCCTGCTGGGCACGGCCGCCGGAGCTGGAGCTGGAGCCGGGGCTCACCACCAAGACATGGCGGGCGGAGCTGCTGGAGCTGGAGCCAGGACTCGCGGCGAAGACATATGCATGCACACATATATATGCACGTGTACATATACATATATGTGCTGCACATAGCCGCTGGAGCCGGAGCTGGAGCCGGGGCTCGGCACCGAGACATGGTGGGCGGTGAGAGTCTGCAGCGAGCCCCGGCAGAGCCTGCACTTGCGGCCATGTCTTGTGGGGAGGCTGCAGGTGGGTGGTTAGAGCCTACGGCTAGCCCTGGCTCCAGCTCCAGCTCCGGCTCTGGCAGCCGTGCCCAGCAGAGCCCGTGCTTATGGCCATGTCCTGGGGGGCGGGGAATACGTGGGTGTGGGGAATACACAAACTATTTTACGAAAATACAATTTTCTGCGGGTTATACATGGGTGCGGGTTATACATGGGTGCGGGCTATATGTGCGAAAATACGGTAAAGCAAAATCTGCCACTGAACATGTACACTGTTACACAATTAAATTGTTAAAAAAAGGCAAGTAAATCACTAAAAGGGGCAATTTCCTCACGTGTACAAGGGCCCTCTTATTCTATGACTATGAACAAGACACAAGGTCAGACTTTTGACAAAATACAGTTTTATGTAGCCTTTTTGAGGGATTATTTCATAGAATCCCTCCAAATTTGCTTTTCAGTTTACCCTGAACCCAATTATTTTCCTCTAATTTTTTGATCCAGCCACCATAGCCAAAAATCCCATTACCTGCCCAGCTCTAGCCACTGTCCTTTACACCCTTGTCTATGGCTCCTGGGAAATGATCAGTTCCATGGTTGTCTCATGCTTTTCTGGGCTTTTCCACTGTCATTGTTCAGGAATGGTGAAGGATAATAGCATTTGGAATAGCACTATCCAGGCAAGGGCTAAGAGCTTGCAAGACATATTCTCTGCAAGCAAAATATCCAGATCTATCTGAAGCAAAAAATGGTGTTTCTCTTTGGACCTGGAAAGTATGGTGCAGGTCTGGCCATGGCACATAACCTACTAAGGCTATATAAACCTGTGGCTAAACTACAACTTTCTGAGCTAACCAGGACTTTCTGCTCTTTTCAGACAGGAAAGCTTGACCCACATTACCCTCGAGTGTGTGGGCACAAAGGGAACGTGCTGGACATCAAGTGGAACCCTTTTAATGACTTTGTAATAGCTTCCTGCTCAGAAGATGCCACTGTAAGTTTGCCAGCTTGCTCTCGGTCACTAGCCAGCCAAAACACTTGTTTGGGAAAGAAGTTGTACCATTCAGGGAGAAGCATGCCTTGGTTTCCTCTTCTTGAACTTGTTTAAAGAATACTTTCCTTCTATTCCCAACTTACAATCAAGGCCATAGAGCTTAGTGAGCTTCTTCCTTCAACAGAAGCCTACAGCCTAAATGGTGAAATACTAAACAGTGTCACATTTAAAAACAAGCCTGAGGCTCTGTCCTGGGCTCAGAACCATGGGCTCCCATACAGACATGGGTGAGATATGTCCTGGGCTCAGTGGGAGAAGGAAACTCTGAATTAGGTGCTTTTCCAATGCAACATACTCCTTGGGCTTGTTTACACAAGCAAGTTAATTTGGATTAGTATAGAGCCTGAATTTAAAGCAGAACAGCTAGTCTTGATTGACACTTATTCCAGACTGAGAGCATCCCCACAAGGTACATGAGATGTTTACTGTGGAGCTAAGTAATTAGCTCTGCACTAAAAATTGTGCATCTAGATGTGCACCTCTATTAGCCTGGAGTAAACTAACCAACTCTGCAGCAGGATAGTACTTATATTTACAAGTTTTTTACTCCACAGTTTACTCCATACTGCACTGGCTGGCTGGGGCATGAGGGTGCTTCAGTGGGGGGGCTGCCTGCAGGCTAGCCCCATACTAAAGTTCCCTCATGCCCCAGCCAGCCCCTCTGCAGCACCTTGAGGTGTGGGGAGCAACCCTGAGTTAGCAGGCTGACCCCCAGGACTCCCTGCCAGCCAGGGCTGCTCTGACCGGACACAACGTGCTGCGTTCCTGGGAACATGATTAAACAGTGCACCTGGGAACAACAAACTCCAAAGCAATAAGCTCTGGAGTTTATTGTTTTGCATTATTTGTGTGTGTAGACTTGCCTGCAGAGTGTAATTAGGATTTGCTAATCAAGAATAGATTTTCTTAAATAGCACCCTTCTGTGGAGTCACTCTGGCTCATACAGGTAGAAATAAGTTGAGTCTGAAGAACACCACTGAAATAACTGGATCTGCTTGAGGAAAAATCTCACATGAAGTTGACAGTCAAGGAAACTAAAAGGGGGCAAGTTCAAAACGAATACAAGGAAATACTTTTAGCTTGTTGAACTCACTGCCACAGGAAGTTACCGAGGTAAAAAATGTAGCCAGATGGAGAAAGGAGTTGGGCATTTCCTTAGGATGGATATTGAGACTATCTAAAGTTACAGTGGTTGATGCTAATGCAAATGGTGGAAGTGAGAGCAAACCAAATGGGTCAGGGGTTGAGCTGCTCTCCAAGGGTATGCCTATATTGTAGACAAAGCGTGACTGCAGAGTAGATCCAGATATATAAGCCTGGCACCTAAGGAGACTTAGGAGGGATTTAAACACTTGAATCATGAAAAGTAATCCAAAATATCCAGGCTATCTCTGTTCCAGTGGCCCCAAATCTCAGTGGGTGCCTGCATTAATTTATTCCCCATGTTTTGGACTTCAGAGTTCCCTGTGTATCTAAATATAGTCTTTGCATTGGCCCAAAGTAGGTCAGTTTGAGAAGCAAGGCACCTAGGTCCTGTCTGAGCTCCATTATGATACCAATATGAGGCATAGTGGGACTTAAATGCTGTCTAAATCCCCAGAAGGGCCCAAATCTGTAGACAAGTTTGGAACAGGATAATTTAAGCAAAGACCTTTGTGTTCAGTGTAAAGCGTGGCAGTCATGGCCACCTTCACTCAGAAACAAGATTGGAAGGAGGTAGCAGTCACTTCTTGCATAATAGTGTAGTGGTTAGAGCATATACCCAGGAAGTAGAGTACCTGGGTTCTAGCTGCTCCTTGGCTTGAAGTTATTCCAAATAATGTCTCCCAGGAGAGCTCATTCTCCAACTGCCAGACTATAGACATGCCTGATTATTGGGACTCTGATAGAGCTGGACTGCTGGGCCACCAAGATTTCAAGAGTCCTACAGCTAGAAGGAGAGTAAATCAAAAGGAGCTTGTAGTTCAAAGACTTTCTGTGATTAAGTTTAATGGTTAGAGCACTCAACTTGGATAGGGGGTTTCTTCATTAGGCCATCAATGGATAGAAATGAGCAATAGTTATAGGACAGGGGACCACAACTTGCCTCCACACAAGTGAATGCCAGCTTGGCACAAAAATTGACAGCAGGACATAAAATCATCAAAAATTAAGGTCAATGGAGGACAATTCCTAACTAGATCATTCTAGTCTGGGCCAGGCTGGATTAGTATGGAGTGTGGAGTGGATCCTTGGCACTGCCTTTGTGGTGGACAAATTGGGAAAAAAATTCAGCAAAGAGCAGCAAAAATTATTAGCAGTCTGGGAAACATGGCCTATGAGAAACAGTTGGAAGAACTAGGATTATTTAATCTGGAGAAGAAAAGATTGAGGGGGAGATTTGATAACCGTCTTCAAATACCTGAAGGATAGTTATATAGATATTGTATATAGAGTTATACAGAAAAATATTGAGTTATACAGGAGACAAGACAAGAAATAACAGTCTTAAATTACAACAAGGGACATTTAAGACGGAAAAATGTTCTAACTGTGAAGGTGGTTCAGCGCTGGAACAGGTAACCCAGAGAGATAGTGGAGTCTCCATCCCTGGAAGTTTTTAAGAGCAAGTTAGACAAATACTTGTCTGGTATGCTTTATACTAGGATGATCCTGCTGTGACCAAGGGGCTGAACTAGATGAACTCTTGAGGTCCCCTCAGGCTCTTTTCCATAATTCAATAAATTGGTTAAATGATATGTTTGGAGGCCAACATCAAATGCTTTCTGGTCCAATTCAAGACTGCTTGGAATAAAGGGGAAGCCCTGCTTTGAATGTGCTGGTTGCTGGGTTAGCTCCCAAGTATCTTGGCATTGTCCTGAGAGAAATATCTGGTCTTGGGACCATGGGTTCCCCTAATTTGACATCAATGGTGCTGATGATTTACTTGACCAGGTTTTAGTGATAGATTGCCTCATACCAGCACAGATATGTGGTGATACAACACTGTATTTATCCAAAGACCTTTTTGTGCTGTGCAGGTCAAGATCTGGGACATCCCCAAGCATTTGCTAACAAGAAACATCACCAATGCAAAGAAGGAACTCCTCGGCCATGCACGGAGGGTTGGCCTCATCGAATGGCACCCCACTGCCAATAACATCCTCTTCAGCTCTGGTTATGACTATAAGGTTTGTTGGTATCCAGCAAGGCCCAGAGGGGCCATGTCTTCTGCTCCAAATGGTAGCGTGCACAGCTGAGCCTTGCACAGTGGAGGTGGGGCCTACAGGGGTTTGCAAGGGGAAAGCTCTGCCCCATATATGCTCTGCTTCTGCAGAATCACTTTAATTGGTACACCTCCCTGTCATTGTCTTTTCTAAGAGAAGTCAAAGGCCTGTCAAACTGCATGGGGAAGTTCTCCAGAAGTAGCCCTACTCTGTCCTGTGGTTCCCTCCAAGGGGAAGAGGTCATGGGCTGGAAGTCACTGGGGAGGAGGTTGAGGGCAAGTTGATGGTCTTGGCTTGAAGGTCCAAGGCTGGGGTTTTACAAGCAGGGTGAATTGGACCTCCTCAGCCTCTGTGGGTCTCAGTGGTTTGAGTCAGACTAGCTCTCAGAAGCAGTAGAACAAGACAGGCTGGGAAATGTAAAAACATTGGTGATGGAAAAAAATGAAGGTAAAAAAGGGGCACAGAAAGGTAAACAGGAAACAGAAGGTATGTCTACATATGTAATTAATATTGTTTTTAGGCATGACATCTGCATGTGCACCCTGGCCCACAGCATGTTGAGCCAAGTTGGAGCAGGCCTGGCTGTCAGGGAGCCTGGGGGGTTGGTCTGACAGCTGCTCCCTCTGGCTCAGCATATGGCAGAGGGGTTGACTGGGGCATGAGGGTGCTTCAGTGGGTGGGGGCTAGCCGGCAGGCAGCCCCCACACTGAAGCACCCTCGTGCCCCAGCCAGCCAGGGCAGCATCTACATGTGTGCAGCTGCTGAGTTTTTTACTTCACAGCAAGACAGTACCTGTATTTACAAGTACTGTCCTGCACTGGAATAAATTAGTTTACTCCAGCTTAATAGGGGTGCACATGTAGATGCGCAACATTTATGGCAGAGCTAATTAGTCTACTCTACAGTAAACCTTTCATATAGCTCCAGTAGCTTTCATATAGCTTTCATATAGCTGCAGTAAACCTTTCATATAGCTCCTTTCGTACAGTTCCAGTACGTCCACTCAGATCTTGCTGATGGAACAGCCATTTTTCTTGTGCTTACTGTAAAATGAACAAGTTCAAAGGGAAAGGGCTTGAGAACTTATTTGTTTGCTTCAGATTATGATATGGAGCCTCGACACAAAGGAGACGGTCATTCAGAATCCAGTGAAGATCTTCGATTCTCACAAGGATGTGATCCTCTCCATGTCATTCAACGTGGATGGCAGTCTGCTAGCCACAGCCTGCCGAGACAGAAAGATACGGATTTTTGAGCCTCAAACAGGCACAGTTGTACAGGTATGCTGGGGTCAGAAACTTGAATCCAGTGCGGCTGACTTTGTGAGTCCTCTTTTGTCAAGGTTCATTGAACGTTGGGAAGGCCGCACTTGTGTGCAGATGGCAGAAGGGAGATGAGCTTTCATTGGGAGAACCAGGGGGTGATCATTCCTATAAGCAAGGTGCAAGTGCCAGAGAGAATCCTGGAGCAGACTGACTAGTGAATTCTGGCTCTGCTCCAAGACGATTCCTTAGTGTCACAAAACAGCCATGACCTTGGGACTGTGCTATTGGAAACCAGCTCATGGATTCCTTCCTAATCCAGAAATGAAAAAGCTGCATCCATATAAACTAATTAACTCAGAGGTAATTAGTATTGTCACTGCTAAGAAGCACCATGCAGATTGGTTCCACTGCTTCTGGTTTAGGAGGCAGCACTCTGGGAGCAGTGCAGTTTGTGTGAGGCAAAGATTAATTTACCAGAGAGACTGGATTCCTCCAAATGTCAGGTGACAATGGGAAAAAGATTTCTTTCCACAATGTACTGTTCACTTTGGAAATCACAGTAACATGCCATCTCTCCCTACAGGAAGCCAGCTCCAAGTCTCACAGAGTGAATAAAGTTTTGTTTCTAGGAAACATGAAAAAGCTGCTCTCTACTGGCACATCCCGGTGGAATAATAGGCAGATAGTCTTATGGGATCAGGTGAGTCAGACCAGCAGCCCAATATATTCACATCCACAGTTTTCTGGACTTTGTAACTATCATGTTAACAGTTGTACCTACCAAATACCCAGTAATTAATTTGTAGTCAGTGTTCAGAGGCATCTATCCAGGTAAAAGCTCTTTGTGAGTCATCATTTGGTTTGTACCATATTATTAAATGCAAATGAACATAGCTTGGAAGCAGAGAAATTACTCAAAGTAGTGAGACACAGGAACAAGGCAGACACCAATCAACCGGAGGTACAGGGCTGTTCCAAGGACCTTGGGGGTTTTGGATGCAGTTCTTAGTTCTTGGTATCATTGCCCTCAATGCCAAAAAGTCTACTGTTTCCCACTGAAGCAGAATTGAGCCCCACATTGGCTCAGTAGGGCTTCAAGGGAGGAAAGTATCTGCTGTTTAGTTTTGACAGTGCGTTGCACTTAATCATTTGGAGAACATTTACCCCAGTCTACTGGCAAGGCACGTGCCTCCTGTCAAGATGGGTGCTGGTCAAGAAAGGATATTTAATGTTTCATCATTAACTGGAGAGGAGTGAAGGGGCTGTTCCATCACTGGTGTGTGCAGCTTTCCATTAGATGGCCACCTGTGCTGCTGGATACAGTGTCCACAAGAAGGAGGTGCTGCTGGAGCAATGTCCATCCCAACAACATGCTAGCCAGTTCTTCTTGGCTATGGTGCTGAGCTTGTCCTAAGCAGGCTCGTCTCTGGTAGGTCTGCCCCAGGTGATGGCAGTGGTGGCTCTGCAGAGTCACAAGCCTGTATCCTCTGTGCCAAGAAACTTGTTTGTGACCCTTTGCCAATCTCCCTGTGGCTGGCTTGCTGGGTAGTAAGCAACTCCTCCCAGCAGCTTTGCCACTCCAGCTACCCTTCAACTTTGCCCTGGTAGCAGAACCCTTCAGGCACACCTGCTTTGTGAGGGGGGATGTGCCAGTTTCCTACACTGCACAGATCTTGGGCCCAACCAGCACCTTCCTAGACCCCTCACAAAATGCTCTGCCCCCATGTAGGTGCTTGTGTAGTGGACACCTTTGAGCTGGTACCTCCATACAAGGAGCCAGGGTGGCTTCTCCCCACCATTATCTTGAGGGATTCCAGGATGTGGCCTGTTGTCTTCACAGCTCTTTCTCTAGGAGGGACAGGACAGGGTCCCTATCAGGGAGTTGCACTCTGTGTCTTGGACCAGGGGCATTTGGGTTGATCCATGTCCATGTCCTGTGAGAAGAAGCTCCTCTCTGAGGTCATTTCTGATGGGAGTTGTTTTCTCTCTCCTTTTTTATGCCCAGGGTGATCTTTCGGTGCCTTTATTGGAGGAGGATCTAGATGGCTCCTCAGGGCTGCTTTTCCCTTTTTATGACTCAGATACAAACATGCTATATGTTGTGAGCAAGGTAAGTGCTTTTCCTTGGAATGGATGTTAGCATAGTTGGTTATGCTCCCTGCTAGGGGCTGCTGCTTTAAATCAATTTGCATGTTATGAGACTCATGCCTTGATGCTTTAAAAAGGTTCTCAACTAAATGTGAGGATACCTCTTGGCAGACAAACAGATGCAAAGGATGAAATCAAGTCTCCCCTTCCCACAGAAGGGCCTGTGCTAGAAATGGGAAGAAAGGCAGTATAGTTGTGGCAGCAGAGAGCCAGCTTTTAGATGGAGCATAGTCACTTATGATTATATTGCACTGCTGAGAGCTGGGGTCTGCACTCGATGACAAGGTGAGCCCTTCCAGTCACTTCCCAGTATACTCTGCACTCCCAGGTCCCTGAGTCAGTTTTCACCAGTATCACATGGGCTTACAGCACTCAGATGCCTGCCCAGAGGGACCAGATCCTGCAAATGCAGCCTTATGTCAAGCATGTGAGCTGAAGACATGGTCTTCTGTGGGAGGACTTGTAGGTGTAATGTTGGGTAGGTGCATGAGCTTTTGGAGGATCAGGGTCCAGGTGAGCCAGGGTCTTCAACATGTTTGTCATCTACTCCTTGCAGGGGGCAATAAGAAACCCACAAACAAGGGTGGATCTAGTATTTTGAAAAAGAGGGTGTGGATGGTATGGTGCATAATGATATGGTATGGTGCAGCACAACCCATATTTTTCTCCAGGTAAAAAGAAAGTAAAAGCTGTACTAATATGCCTGGTTATGTACAAACTCATGCCATGACAAGATTTGAGGCTTAGGGAGTTTTGCAGGTGGATCCAGTGGTAGCACATGGGGCACAGTCTTTGTCCAGCCTTGCAGTCTTGCATAATTGCCATGGGATGGGGCCAGATTGCATGGCGAGGCACATTTATTTGGACAGCAGGTTGAATTTGGTCATTTCCGGGCTTTTGACCTCAGTTAAAATGGGAAATGACACCATAAGGCCAATCCCTCATGGGAGTGAGGAGGTTAAAGCTGGTATTCATAGAGAAAGGGCTCCCTTCTTGTTCACTGGAATGGCACTTGGAGTCACCCCTTTCTTAAGTCCTCCTCTGTGCAGTGGGAGCTAAGCCAGGCCTCGCATTGATTCTCCTTGTCTCCAGGGTGATGGGAACATTCGCTACTATGAGATAAGCATGGAGAAGCCATACCTGAACTTCCTGATGGAGTACCGCTCCCACATACCACAGAAAGGCATTGGTGAGTGTGTGACCTGGATTGCTAGCATAGCTGTGAGCTCAGCATTTGAGACCATACCAATTTGGGGTCCACAATAACATACTCTGGGGACTAACTCAGACCTCACATCAGCTTTGTGAATAGAATCTGACATATAAAAGCTACCGACTCTGCGTGTGTGCTCTTGGGATTTCCATCTATGTTCTCGATAGCACAGTCCCAAGGGCTCTGAGGCTAGAGGGGCCTATTCTGAACACCACCTCTGAGCTGCAACTCTGTTCCTGGAGGTGGAAAATACACTACACAACAAGGCACATAGATTTCATAGACATTAGGGCTGGAAGGGACCTCGCAAAATCATTGGTTCCTGCCCAAGGGACAGGAAGTCAGCTGGGGTCAGATCACCCCTGCAAGATAAGCATCCATTTGAGTCACTCTGACCCGAGCACTCAAGGAAGAAGGAAACACTGCATTCAGTGCCATGGCAATCAGATGGTTTACAAAAATGTTCTCTAGGCTCCATCTAACAAGCATAGATCCTTGTAAGGACACAGTCGCCTAGGGCCCAACCACATATTAAAATTAATGCTGGATAGAAACCAGCTATAAAATTGTTACACATTTTCAAGCACTAATTTGGTGGCTGGCTGGCTCTTTTTATAGCTGGATGGACATTTTTATGGCATGATAATTACTCTGCACATGTGGCTGGTCTAAATTTATTCTGTGATTAATCAGTTAATTGTGTGATAATTACTTTGCAAGTGTGGCCAGTCTACATTTATTGCACAATTAACCAATTCATTACATAATGTATGTAATGTGTGGCAAAAACCCTAGTGGCAGTATTGCCAACTCATGATTTTTAGTGTTGTTCTTAAGTCTCCACTTTGGGAATGTGAAAAACTTAGCTCTTTCTTTTATATATAGATATATATAACTATATATAAAATAAAAAGCTACGTTTTTCACATTCCTAAAGCATAGACTTTAAGAACAATGCCAAAAATCCTGAGAGTTGAGCTGACAACACTGTGTCTAGTTGGATATGAGTGCATGTTATTGCCACCATTCATGAAGTGCATGACTGTTAGCGCCCTTGTTACTGTTACAGCACTAATAAGCCAAGATGTTGTTAGCATATCTGTACCAAAACGAATGCCATCTCTCAGTGAGGCATGCTGCTTGTGTTGAGGGATGCTGAGTCAATGCCCTTCGCTTGCTTAAATTCACTTGGAAAAGGGATGGGTTAGTCCTCCGTGGTGATTGTTCCCAGCCTGCTCCCAAACCATGCCTGCCATTTGTTGTGCTCTGTCATCAGGGGCCATGCCGAAGAGAGGCCTTGATGTGTCAGCCTGTGAGATCTTCCGATTCTACAAGCTGATCCCAACCAAAAGCCTGATCGAGCCCATTTCCATGATTGTGCCACGGCGGGTAAGCAGGCCTCTGCCATGAATGTGGGCCCATCCACCAGCTCTGATAGAGCACAGCTAAGCAGGGGCTGTATGACCTTTGGGAAAGCCCTTGGGCCTATTCCTCAGCTGAGGTGGGAGATGGGTGCTGCCTGAACCAAAGATTATTTCCTAAGGAAAGACTGCTTGTGATAGCCTGTTATGTGGCTTGCAGCTATGGAAGGCTCTTACCTAGCCATGTGTGTGGGACAGACAATGTCACTATAGTATGTAAGAACATTATGAACTGCTCAGGGCCTTTATTGGAATAACACAGTGAAAGGGCCCGCACTGGGGTTTCAGCTCCTTGGAAGGATAAAGTTGCCAGCACCAAGCTTCATGCTGCCATACTGAAGCCTTTCCCAATGTCTGAGCTGGCTAGCCTAAAGCTAGCTTGGAGAGCTATATGTACCACTGTATACATGCCTGGGACTGCAGTGTAGATATCCCAGTCAGGGAGACCAGAACCATTTCGCACCCACATCACTTTAGTTTTCACTTTGGCTGTGAGTCTGTAAGCTACTAAATCTACTTCTGTAAGCTACTAAATCCCCTGACACCACTCAGTCCAGCTTCCCTGTGAGGAGGCTATTCTTATGGCAGCTGATTACGTGAGTCCATGGAGTCCATGATGGGCACCACAGTGAGTACTTATACCTCTCCATCTCTGCTCCTCAGATATACAGCCCACCTGCTCCTCAGATATAACTGTCTACAGCAGCCCAGCTCTGCCATCAAGCCACCTAGCTCATCTCTGTGGGTGTCACATCTTTGAGGTTCACTTTGGGTGCAGTCCCAGTCCTTTGAAAACCAGCAGAAGTTCTGCTGCAAGTATTAACAGGACCAGGTTGTCTATATCCATATATTGCTAGGAGAAATATCAGCCTGGAACTTACCTTGTAACACTCTGCTCTTCCAGGCAAGGGGATGTTGTGAGTCAAAGCAACAAGGAATTTCTAGGGGAATCATCATCCCAGTAAAGGACCGGCAAGGGGTTTCTGGGTCAGGATGGGTAGAGGTTCCTACCCATTAGGAACCATTACCTGTCAGTGTCTAGGCGGCCCTGCTGAGAAATGGCCCTTTTTTGGCCAGCAAGCTTGGCAGCAGCTGGTGGCCCCAGTAGCAATTTTATGCATTTTCCTTGTGTGTTTGCAGTCAGAATCTTACCAGGAGGACATCTATCCTATGACAGCTGGGACCCAGCCAGCACTGACATCTCAGGAGTGGCTGAATGGAATCAATAAAGGTCAGGCCTGGGCAGAGGGAGTGGAGTTGGAGTCCAACAGCTCTTCGCCTGACTTGCATTGGCATGATGTGTCAAGAGCATTCTGGTTCATTAGCAGCTGGAGAGCTATGCCCTATTAAAAAAATAAAATTGGTCCTATGACCCAGGGCTGTTTCGATTATGAATGGCCTTTGAGAGTACCTCCAACCTGCAGGTCTCTCCTATTGGGTGAGTACATGCCTGCTCTTTCCAGGAGCTAAAGACCCTGCCCCCCATTTGCTTTACAGGGCCTGTTCTGGTGTCCTTGAGACCAGGCTCTGGGATTGTGAATTCTCTGCCACAATTTCCTGAGCAAAAGCCATCCCAGAAGAGCACAGAATCCAACTGGTACCAAAACCAGGAAGAATGGATGCCACTGGAGGAGATCCAAAAGCAAAGCAGTGTCTCAGACAGGAAAAGCCAGAAGAAAATGGAGAGACTGCAGGATGATAGCCAGATGCGGCTTTCCAATGGCTTTGATGTGTTTGAATGCCCCCCGCCCAAAACTGAGAATGAGGTCTGGCTGTGTGGAAGCACGGGGGGCCTGGATGTGAGGGTGGGAGAAGGGAGAGAACAACAGGTGACAGCTAGCCCAAACGGCATGCTTCATTTGTGATCCCCTGAGGCCACTGGCTGTCTCTTACATGAATACAGCACACAGCACAATGGGGCAGCCCTGTTACAAGGGGTAGGCTCTCTCTACCCAGGTATTTACAGCTAGTCCTTGTCACTGCCAACATTCATACATTTCTGCTCTCAACCATACACTGAGGTGATGGTCACCCAGAGGTCCCCTGGACAAAGCAAAAATAAGTACGCTGTATGCCTTACCCGAGCAGAGCCACAGCATTTTCATTGGTTTCCCCTCTGTAGCTGGTACCTAGCACTGGCTTATTCAGGAGATGGTCCTAACTGAGGATATTCCCAGTTGGACCATTGTGAGACAGTTATTGGCTTTGCTGGCCTTTATGGGCATGCTGCTCTTCAGAAAATCTGGTCACTTGCCCAAATGTGGGAGAGAGGCTTGCCCCTTGGGAGGAGCCAATAAACAAAAGCTTCCCCACAGTATTGTCAGGGGAGAGTGCCCACAGAGCAGGGGTGGGCAAAATATAGCCCACAGGCTGGATCCCACCTGAGGAGGCACTTTCTCTGGCCTGCAGTGGGTCCCTTGGTCTCTCCTGGCCCAGGCACCATCCAGCCCGTGGTGCATCCTGCCACCCCCTGAGCACACAGCGGGGCTGGGGCAGCTCTGCTGCCTTCTAGGCATCCCAGGCGGCGGCAGCTCCTTCTGGCTGCCACTGAGCTGGCCCCAGCCCTGTGGTACTGGTGGGGACCATGTGCACAGCCCTGACCCCAGCCTGTCCCATGCCTGCTCCAGACTCGGCCTGGCAGAATGGACCAGCTCTGGATCAGCTGGAACCTGCACATACAGCTCTGACCCCAGCTTGCCCTGCACCTGCTCCAGACTCACCCACCTATGCTGAGCAGCAACAGCAGCGGTGGCAGCTGGGCAGAAGCTGCTGCTTAGTGCAGGGGAAAAGCATCCCTTCCTCTTCACTGCTGCTGGGTCTTCTTGCTGCAGCCACCCAGAGCCCATGCCTGGGCTGCCCTGCGGCTCCTCTGCACTGCCACCTCTGCCCTGCTGGATAGCCTGGAGGTGATGGTGACTGTGACAGAGAGGAGCAGCAGGGCAGTCCAGGCACTGGCTCTACGCAGCAACAGCAAGAAGGGCCCAGCAGCAGTGAGTGGCAGGGGCTGCTTTTCCCCCATGCTGAGCAGAAGCTTCTGCCTGGTCACTGCCACTGCTTAGCGAGGGCGTGGGGCGGGTCAGGGCTGGGGCTAGGTGCTGTTGGCAGTGGTGGGGAGGAGCCACAGGGCACACAGACGCCAGGCTGTTTTTTTTTTTTTGGAGGTGGGGGAAGTGCTGACCAGCCCGTGGCAGCTCCCCAGAACTGCCTATGTGGCTGTTTGGCCCAAATAATTGCCCACCCATGCCACAGCATGCAACCTTTTTTGGGCCCTGTTCCTGGCCAATCACAGATGTTGAGACTGGGGCCTCTTAGCATTGGGTACTGAATATGCATCTAGTGAGAGGGATGGTCTTTTCCCCCAAAATAGCTCAGTGTAAGCCAAGAATACAAAGGGAAGCTTTTTATCTCTGCTGAAGAGATCAGAAACAAGGGCAAAGAGAAGCTGAGGGACATACCCGGGTTACACAGGGAGTTTGACAGAGCCAGAAGCTGGATCCAGATCTTCTGAGTGCTGAATTTTAGCCCCTAGGCCCATCAGTGGAATGGAGTCATAAAGGCAGAAGTATGTGGGAGAGGGGCAGAAACTATTTTTCTGTCTTTCCTTTGCTTTATACTGAGGGAATGTGGCTTTTCAGGAGCCATGGGGTGGGTTGGGGGGTGAATTCAGGTGGCTAAATGAGTACTCTGATGATGGCAGTCACACCAGAGGATACCTGGCTGATATGCTGCTGGTGCCAGCAGGGCTGTGGCAGTGTACTTTACGCCTAGATCTGGTTGTGGCATGAGGGGAACAAGGTGTTGCTTCTTTTCCAGCTGCTACAGATGTTTTACCGACAGCAGGAGGAAATCCGGAGGCTGCGTGAGGTGGTGAGTCAGAGGGATGTCCAAATCAAGCAGCTGGAGCTGGAGATCAAAAACTGCCACATGGATGCCGGCAGGTACTGAGGGCATAGGGGTGCCTGTGTGGCTGACGGCACCCGGCACACCTATGAGACCCCAGCCACCTTGAGAGAACTGCTCTTTCTAGCTTTGGATTAAGATGGAAGGCATGCAATTGAATGCCCAGTGGCAGCACACAGGCTCACACCCATCTATGGAGCTCGCAGAGGAAACCTGGCTCAAAAAGCATGGACAAAGTGTTGGGAGTCTTGTTCTGGCTCTGCACCCTCCTTTGATGCCTCTGTATGCTGCAGTGTGCTGGAATAAGCAGAAGGGGTACTACAAGCTTCCCAGATCAGCCTGTGCCTGGCAGTGCTGCTCTTGCAGTCCCTGCACTGCTGCCTGGCTGTTCAGTGAGGGGAGGCTGTCAGCACTAGCCAGGTGCTGTGTAGCAGAGCCCATGGGGGTGGCCTACAAACTGCCCACACTGCACAAGGCCTGAGCTACCCTGCACATGGAATAACATCATGTAAGACCCATATGAGGACTGGAGTCTTTGGCCTGTCCCAATAGCACCTCCAGCCCTCCCAGAGTAGGCATCCAGGCCTGGTACTCCTGTCATTCTCCCATCTTTTCCCTTCAGGCAGGGTCTATTGCTACATCCTGTTTCTTCTGCAACAGCCATTGGCTCCATCGCTACCTCATGCCCCATAACCCAGACACCAGTTAGTCTGTAGCCCTTTCATGCCTCAGCAGCATTTCCATGACCCTACACTGCTTGTCTCCCACGAAGTACACACACGCTGCCATCCACATGCTGTTAGTTGCCTGACTTTTCCACTCTTGACTGCCTGATGTCAGAGCACCTTGCGGTTTAGCTTCTCCTGCCAAGGCTGAAAACTCTGTTCCCTGAGCCTCTCTCTGTATACCTGGTGAGAACCCAGGTGTCCTGAGGTTTTCCAGGTCCCTTAGATGTAAACAGTAGTGTCAATGCAAACCCTGAGGTGGAAAGAAGTGTCCATGGTCTCCTGAATGGTGTGAGAATCAATGAGGCACTTCATTTTCCCCGAAGTAATTACTGCTTCACACATACGTGTATGTGTATATGTGAATGCACTCATGTACACATGGGGTGAGCATGGGCAAGATGGCAGGGCCATGATCTGAGCTCAAACATTTGCCAAATGCGAGGAATGCTACTGTGTCCCTAGATTAGAACCACTGCACCACAGAGAATTCAGTAGCCAGTGAAGTCAGGGCTGTGTCCTGCCTGCTAGTGTCTCCTGTTGGGGCAGGGTGCTCACTAGCACCAGCTCCCAGAAGGCTGCAGCCGACAGAAAGTGTTCGTCTGTGAGCACGCAAGAGGACCCACAATAGGTGTGTAATCTAAAGAGACCTCAGCCTTCCCAAAAGCCTCATGCCACTCTAAGAACCAAGAAACTCAGGTGCTAAAGAACAGTCACTTTTATGTTGCTTTGAACAGCCCCCTTTCTCCACTCTCACCAGTGACCATTTGTGTGCGGGTAGTTGGCCACGCATTAAGACAAAATCCATTTAGAGTTGGCTGCCTTCCAGAAATGAGCTACACTGATGCTTGCTTTTTCTGGGGAACTCACTGCCTGACTCCATCTTTCTGTCTGCCCAATACTGTTGTGGAGGCAGCAGTGCCAGCAGAGGTGTCACTGAGCAGCTCCATTCTCAGGGCAGCCATGCAATGCCTGGGGCGGTGCCAGCCACTGCAGTGGGAGCCATTCATTGCTGCTTTGGATGCATCTGCTTTTGTGCCCCCTTCACAAAGGTAGTGCCCAGCCCCGTTACGCTAATGAGCACCAGTGGTAGGCTCTGTGAAGCTGAGCATCTGTGCTTGTGTGGGTTACTATTTCACAAGGTGTTATGGATGAAAAAAAGAGCTGATCATCCAAGTTGCCCACCAAATACTTTGGACACATCTACTGTTTGTCTGAACCACATTTGAAACTTCCACACAAGTAATACAGCCATACTTCTTTTTGTAAAAAAATCCCAATCATTTTTAGTTTACAACCAATGATTATGAAAACCAAACAACACGAGTGACATGACAACATGGATACCTACAGTGTAAGACAATGTAAGACTGCTTCCTGTCAGTGAAAAGTGTGTTTCATTTGGAGATTTTTTGTTTTTTTTTATACAAAAATTATTTAAATTATTTGTCAGCAAAAGTAAAGAAAAATAATTTTTACCAGGCATTTTTGTTTGTTCTTTTTTTATTAAAATTTTTCTGTATGTGTATGACTAGACAGCTTGGAAACTGGTCAGCAAATGTGTCTTAGCCAATTATGAATGGACTTGTTGATCTCAATGTATACTTGAAAAGATAATCATTGCATTTATTGTTTACTGAAGATCTTTCCAAGAACAAAGGATATCTAATCAGGACTTGAATATGATCTTTTGGATAATACCTCTGCATAAATGTAAACTTTGAACTATATTTCAGCTCAAAGCTGAAATGTAACCATAAATATTTTACAGGAAGACAGATTGGCAGAAATTGTTTTATTATGTTTTATTAAACAGTGCCTAAATATATTTAAAAGATCATTTGTGGCATTCTTCTCAAATGGCTTGTATCTTTATAGAGAGGGAAGACATAATAGAAAACAAGATGAGGAGAAAAGGGCAAATAGATTTGTGCAATGTAAAACAAATGTAATTAAATAAATATCTATCTAGAATTTTACTTTTTAATATATGTAGGTTTTGGTTTGATTTTGCTTTTTCCAGTGTTTAATTGCTTAAAGAAAATTTCTAAACCAGAGGACTGATCAGACTTAGAAGGGAATTTATGTATTTCTGTCTGTGCTCTGATAAATTATTTCCTGAATGATACCTGGTAATTAAACCTGAAATTATACAGGTGCTTACACTGTTGTTAATACATGTGTGTCTTAACCTTCCCACTTGCCCCAGAGACCGGTGGGCTGTTCATTTAAGTCCTTCCATACTTTGTTCCTGTGTTGATTCAGCTTCTAATAAACTAAAAACTAACCCAAAGGAATGAACACAGATAGGCTTTCCTCTTCATTTGCTTTTTAACCACTGCACCTGAGTAACTACTGTATGGGTACTGAGCTCAAGTTTCCTCTCAAAGCGGGTCCACTGTGAAGTAAAAATACAAGTTTCCTGGGGCCAGAAAAAGAGAGCCATAATCTAGTGGTTATAGTTCAAAGACCTGAGTTCTGCTGCAAGGACTGCACTCCAAGGACTGATCCAGGCTCAGACTTGCTTTTTCACCACTTTAAAATTAGTGGGGCTGGGTTTATGTCCCTCCTGACTTGTAACCCACACAACATTCAGGAAGCATGAGTATGGCTGCACCTTGCCCAGGTATTGTGAATGGGCAGGCTTCCTCCCTTCCATTCACCCCTACTGGCCTACATGCATAGAGGCCAGGAGACACGCATTCTGCACTGTACCATCCATGCCCCAGTTCAGCCTGGCTGTATGTGCTGTCTGAAGTGATCCACTCCCAGACTTATTACAGACAGAGAACACGCAGCTTCATCCTGACCAGTTCTGTCATGCACCATGAGGAGGAAAGTGAAGAATTAAGATCTGTTACAATCCTGGCAGCAAGATGAATCATGAGAAACATTACTTCCCAGTGATACTTTAAAGTATTTACAAACCAATAAGCAGTTCAACAAGTTGCTGATAACCATCCATAAATATAAGCCCTCCCCTCAAGCAGCCAAACCCTCCAAATTCCTTAACCTGCCTATTGTACCATACAGGTGAGTGGGAGGAAAAGTCCTTCAGCAGGGGCTATTTTCTTTTATCTTCTTACCAGCGACCCAGGACTTATGGTAATCATGAATTAAAGGCCCACTAGTGAAAGGCGAGTGCTATGCAAGACCACAGGGCTCAATGCTTTAATGCAAGGGTGGGCAAAATAGGGCTGCCAACTGATTGCATCTGGCTTATGGATGGGTAGCCGTGAACACATGGGATCTGGCTTGCAGGCAGCCAGCAGCTCTGGCATCAGCTGCCACATAGTGCTGGGCAGGTCAGCAGGACTCGTTCTGCCCAGTGCTGACATGGTGGCATCAGCTGTGGGCCCAATTGCCACCCAGAACCTGCTGGTGACATCTACGGCTGATACCTGGGCCCACCTGAGATGCACTAGGTGGATGGAGGCATAAGCTGCAGATGCAGTCAGCAGGTTCCAGGTCGGGGTGGGGTTCTGGGTCAGGGTGGGGCTCAGGGCATGTTACAGCTCTGGCCAGGTTACAAGGGGAGACAGAGAGAGACAGACAGAAGTGTGGCCCTCAAGAGGACACCAAAACTGGCTGATGTGCCCAGCCAAAATAATTGCCCAACCCTACCTTAGAGTCTTGCCTGCTGTGCAAGGTGGGTTTGGAAAGTAACTATTCAGGCGTAGTAGTCCTGTATATGCTCTTTGCCAAGTGGTAAATGCCCTGAATGGTGCAGGGTGATCAGCCCTTCTCTCCCATCCCCACCACTGTGGATACACAGAAGCACATTCACTGCCTTAAAGAAGAGTAGAATACAAAAAACTCAGGTACAAATTCAAAGTCCATTTCCCTTTTGTATCACTTGGCTTTAAAAAATGATTGTACAACTAGACTTTACAAAACAGCAATAGGTTCATTTTCACTCAAGTTCTTAAAAATATTTTTTTTCTGTAGTCATTGCATAAAATTTTCCAAGGTAAAAATACAGTCTACATTTAAAGTAAAAAGGAAATAAAATCCAGCAAAGCATGGAAGAGACCCAAAAATGTTAAGATTTTATTTATGAGGTTTCATCATGAAGAAAAAAAAGTGAGAAAGCCTCAGGCTAAACAGGCGACCAATCACCATCATGACTAACCAATAACTGCTCTTCTTGCTGGAGCAAGTCTCACAATAAAACTTAAGACCCCCCTAAACCCACTCGTGAAAGTGCTGTTTAGCTTAGTGTCTGTCTTTCTGAGCAGGTGTCCAACCAGTGGGTGACTGCAGGACATGTGGAATGTGACAGGAACAGCTCCGTGGCTCTTTGGGTTCCCAGGGGCTCACCTGACAACTACATGTTACTTGCTGGTGCTCTGCTTGCTCAGGTTCCTTTCAGTATTGATCAGTTCTTTAAGAACAGCTGGTATCTTAGTCATCTTCATTACCTTCATCATCTCATCGATTCAATCACAGAGAAGTAGGGATGGAAGAGACCTCCAGAAGTCATCTAGTCCAAACTCCTGCCTGAGGCAGGACCATCCCTATCCAAACCACCCCATACAACCATAATCTAAATTCTACATAAGACTACATCAACCCTGCCTCAACATAGAGAAATACCCTAACCTTCCACAGGTAAAGCAGGGGAATGGCCTGCTTCTATAAAATGTCATCAATATACACTCAAGAGGTCCTGGGTAGAGGACCATACCCCGCAGCTACAGAGGAAGGTACAAACACCCCACAGTCCATATCAGTCTGACCATGGGGTAAAACTCCTTGCTTAACCAAAATATGGCAATTGGTCTGACCCTGAACAAAGGGGCGAGACCCTGTAGCCATGAACTTCCAGCTTTGCACCACGCAGGAACACCCCAGTCAAAGTCCCCAACCTTGGCTGTAAGCCAATACCTGATGCCTCTGGGAAAGTGTAAAAACACCCTGACACATAGCACAAAATGTTGTAAGGGGGTTCTCTCTTCCTCTTTTCCCCCTTCCCACTCTCCTCCTCATCTCTGTAGCACTGGGAAAACTAATTTAGTCATGGCTTTTCGGTAGGGCAAGACAACACCTATATCCCACTATCACTGGATTACACTGATCCACAGCTGAAGTTATACAGAGCGGAGAGGCTGAGATTTTCAGACTACCTAGCTCAATGCACCTGAGAAAGGTTGTGGATTTAAGGCTAGCCTGGGTCCTGATGAGGGAGAGATATGAAGCAACCGTTTACAGGTGCAACCTGCTCTCTGCTAGGAAGATAGTGTAGGGGTTGGGATTCTGGGTATTCATATGGGGATACAGGGATCTCTCCATCCCACAGCTGATGAGGTACCTTGTCTGTGTGTCTGACATATACATTCATGATACAAAGCCAATGAAGAAACCACATTACGCTGTAGGCTGCTGTAACTCTTCTATCAGCATTAGTTGCTCAGACCCAGATGCTGCCACTACTTAGGAGGCTCATGTCTACACAGTGCTCCCAATAATTTTCCATGCACAGTGCCCACATAGCATTCCTTACCATATGAAATGAGCTCTCAAGGTACCAGAATTTTCTTATTTTGTTGCATGGAGTGTGGGGCAGTTAACTGGTCCTGGGGATTTAGGTTCAGGGCCCAGGAGCTGAGACAAGCGTGTCTACACGAGACACTTCACTGTACAGTAGAGCAGTAAGTGTGCATGTCTACATGTGCACACATCTACTGTGCAGTAAACTGCTCTACTTGCAAGTAAATTTGCTACCTGTAAATGCAAGTAGTAAATTTACTCACAAGTAGTTACTGTGCAGTAGTGCATGTGTAGACCCTGACCGGGAACAAATTTACTCCTAGTCAGCTCT